GAGAGAATAAGGGAAGCGGCTGGAGCTGCAGACGCGGTTCCAGGTTTATTCCAGGCTCAGCAGGTGAAGAGACAGGTGAGGGCAGACAGCAGGTGTCCCTCTTCAGAGCCCAGGGCTTGGGCGTCACTCCTTGCGCTGAGGGGAGAAGGCTGGCTCAGTGAACTGTACCACCTGCCCCTCCCCCCTTCAGGGGCAGGGTGGTGCCCCAGGCTGTCCTTACCTTGGGGCCCAGGGCGTCCCGAGTCCGTGCCCGCAGCTTGTTGGCCTGGGTTTCTGCCATGTCTGCCCGTTCCTCCGCGTCATCCAGCTCGTGCTGGGCCTTGCGATACTTGGCCAGGTTAGTGTTGGCCTGCTGCTCCTGGGACACAAGCAGGCTGGTTCACCCTTTAGTAACTGAGATGGTCAGTCCGGTCCCACCTCATCGCAGAACGGGTCTGGCTTTTCCTGGTCCTCCACTCTGCTCCCACCACCACTGCCCATGGCCCTTCCACCCCCCTCATCAGTCCCCACAGCAGGAGGAAGGGGTTGAGACACTTCTCAGAGGTATCATGCGCCAGACCTGGACCAGGAGGGGAAAACACATGGGCTCCCTTCAGAGACAGGGCTGGGTCTCATCTCTGCTACTAGAGCTGTGGAACTGTCTCTTCTCGTGGGGACAGCAGGGTCAGGAGCTGGATCAGTGCCCTTCGAGGGATCCTGCCTACACACAGCCAGCACTGGAAGCCAAGGCCCCCAGATGGAGGGAGGCTGGCGACTGCTGACCTCTTGCCTGGGGCAAGCCTTGAAGTTGTGTTGCCACGGGCATCCTGACCTGTCAGTACCAGGCCCCGGGGACCCAGGCCCAGTGTGCTCACCGCCTCCTCAAACTGCCGTTTGTAGCTCTTGACCTTGCTCTGCAGCTTGTCCACCAGGTCCTGCATGCGAGCCAGGTTCTTCCTGTCCTCCTCGGCCTGCGCAGGTAGAGGGGACTCAGGTCTTGCCCGGACTAGCTTTTGGGCCACCCCTTTTGAGGTGGACCTAGTGACCCACCTGGTACGCAAGCTCCTTGACCCGGCGCTCGTGTTTCCGCACCCCCTTGAGGGCCTCCGCATGCTTCTTCTGCTCGGCGTCAAGCTCAGCCTCCAGCTCCCGCACCTGTGAGCAGCCAGGTGGGCCTGATGCCAAGCCTGCCCTCACGCTGCCCACTGCAGGGGAAGGGACGGGGGACACCTCACGCACCTTGGCCTCCAGCTTCTGCACCTGCTTCTTCCCGCCCCGAAGGGCAGCTTGTTCCGCCTCCTCAAGCCGCGCCTGCAGCTCCCGTACCGCCTGCTCCAGTGTTGCCTTCATCCGCTCCAGGTGTGCACTGGTGTCCTGCTCCTTCTTCAGCTCCTCAGCCATCATGGCTGCCTGCTGGGGAGGGGTAGGTGGTCAGGAGCTAAGTGGCCAGAGAAGCCCTTTGGGCTCAGCGCCACCGTCGCTCTGCCGGCCTCACATCGGTGATGGCCTTTTTGGCCTTCTCCTCAGCTTCCCGCCTCTCCTGGGCAGCCTCCTCCACCTCCCCGCTCAGCTGGGCCAGGTCCACCTCTAGCTTCTTCTTCTGGTTCAGGAGGCCTGTGTTCTGGGAGGAAGCAGAGCCTCAGAGGCGGCCATCGGGCAGCCACCCTACCCATGCCTGTGCATTGCTGTCCCCACCTGTGAATGCAGGAGGTTGAGGCGTTCGGTGGCCTCCAGCAGCTCCTGCTCTGCAAGCCTCCGGCTGCGCTCGCCCTGCTCCAGGGCAGCCCGAAGCTCCTCCAGCTCTGTCGCCAGCAGCGTGCCCCGGCGCTCCAGGGCCTGGGCCTGCTCCCGGAGCTCAGCTGCCAGCCGCTGCTCCTCGTCCCGCCCTGCCTGCTCCTCCTTGAGTTGGGCCTGCAGCAGCCGGGTGGCCGCCTGTGCCTCCGTGGCCTGGCGAGTGGCATGGCCCAGCTGCAGCTCCAGGTCATTGAGGTCACCTTCCATCTTCTTCTTGAGCCGCAGTGCCTCGTTGCGGGCCCGGGTCTCTGCATCCAGGGAGGCCTGCAGGGACTCTACCGCCCGCTGGTGGTTGCGCCTGTGGGAGAGTGGAAGGTAGTGGGTGTCTTGGCCATAGAAAAGCAGGTAGGCACAGCACCTCACCTGCTCTTACAAGTGCCCAAGGAATGCTGGAGACATGAAGCCATTTGGGGATTAAGTAACTCATCCCCCCCTAGTGACTTCCTGTTCCCATCAGAGCAAGTTCACAGACAAGAGTGAGGCTCTGGAGCAGACAGGTGTTGACTGAACTCCGGCTCTATCCTGACTGTGTCCCTTGGGCAAGTCCTGTAGGCTCCGAGATTCACCTCCAGACTGGACAATAATCCTGACCTGAAAAAGCTGAGTGGAAGGGGCAACCGTGTTCCTGACACTGCACAGCAGGGCTCAGCAAATACTGCTTTCCTTCTTTTCTCACACTCAGGTGGCTGGGATGGGAGGGGCTGTTAGCCCTGGAAGGACAGATAGACCCTGGTGGTAGGTGGGGATGGCCCTGGCCCCCATACCTCAGGTTAGTGCACTCCTCCTCTTTCTCTGCCAGCTTCCGGTCCACTTCCGCCTTGACCTGGGATAGCTCCAGCTGGATCCGCAGGGTCTTGGTCTCCTCTAGCTCCAGGGCCCCCTGGGGTGCAGAGTAGGCAGTGTGGGCCCGGGGGCCCTGAGTGTCTTAAGGGAGCAGGGCGGCAGTGGGTCAGTACCCACCCCACCCCTGGCCAGCCCTGACCTCAGCCTCCTCCAGTGCAGCTTGGAGCTCGCTCTTCTCGCCTTCCAGGGCCTTCTTGGCTTTCTCCAGTTCCTGGATGCTCTTCCCACTGAGGCCGACATGGTCTGTGAGGTCACTGATCTCCTCTGCAAAGTGAATAAGGCACTAAGGGGCCACCTCATAGCTCATGCTCCAACCCAGGCCACATCATTCACCCCTAGTTCAGGGCGACTGGTCCAGGTGCTCCCAACGACCCCAGTGCAGCTCTTGGACCCTGGGCTGGGTCGTACCCTGTAGGTTCTTGTTCTCCCGCCTGAGTGTCTCCAGGGCCTCAAGAGCCTCCTCATGGCTGTGCCGCAGCCGAAAGAGCTCAGTGCCCAGGCTGCGGGCCTCCCTCTGGGCCGCCTCCAGCTCCCGTTGAGTCTCTGCCTCCTGCCGCCTCCGCTCCTCTAGTGCCCGCTCCAAGTGCCGCTGCTTCTTGTCCAGCGCGGCAGCTGCTGAGGTTGCCCGCTCCAGCTCCAGGGTCACGTCCTCCGACTCTGTCTGCAGCCGCAGCTTGGCCTTCTCCAGCGATGAGCACTTGGCATGTGCGGCCTCTACTCCCTCCTCTGCCTCCTGCAGCCTCAGGGCCAGCTTCTTTCTAGGCCATGGGAGGAGACAGGGTCTGGACCGGGTGGCAGAGCAAGACTGGCAGAAGCATGGCCCCCATACCTCCCCTCTCCCCATCAGGGCTGAAGCACGGTCGCCCTGTGTGGCAACGGCTTGGCCAGCAAGGTTCTCACTTGGCCTCCTCCAGCTCCTCGGTCCTCTGGATGGCGTCGGCCTCGTACTTGCTCCTCCACTGGGCCACCTCGGCATTGGCCTTGGACAGCAGCCGCTGCAGCTCGGCCTGGGCCTCGGCCTCCTCCTCGTGCTGCTCCCGCAGGAGGTCGCAGTCGTGCCGCAGAGCCTGCACAGCGTGGGCCAGCGCGCTCTTGGCCTGCGGGGACCCCTGTGACCTCAGCATCGGCTGGCCCAGTGGCCCTGATGCCCACACTGCCCTCTTCGTGGCAGCCAGTGACCAGCCCACCTTGCTCTCCTCCTCCAGCTGCCTCCGCAGTTCCTCCAGGCTCTGGGTGGCCGAGGCCTTCCCACGGCTCAGCTGGCTAATCAGAGACTCCTTCTCCTCCAGCAGGCGGCTCAGCTCCCCTGCAGGCCAAGGGGTGAATCGGCGAGTCAGGCCGTGAGGGGCAGCCCTGAGGCCCTGGGGTGGCCCATCGGAGCCCCTGGCCTCACCGTTCTCGGTTTGCAGACGTCCACGCTGGGTGCTTGCGTCCGCCAGCTGCCGTTGCAGCTCCTCCACCTTGACCTTGGCCTCACTCAGCTGATCCTCATAGGTCCGGCACAGCTTCTCTGCATTGGCCTGAGACCCAGGGTCAGAGGTCAGGACAAGTTTGTGAATCAGAGGGCAGGATCTACAGCTGCCAGTCAGACTGGACCTGGGATGGGGAACTAGAAGGCTAGACATAGGCCCAGGAATCAAAGAGAACAGTGCCCCAAGTTCAGGGTCAGAGATTGTACTGCTGGGCTAGTGCTTAAAAGATGGACATCAGAAGTGAGAAGGCTGGCCCTGGCCAGGTAGCTGAGTTGGTCAGAGCATCGTCCTGATACACAAAGGTGGTGGGTTCGATCCCTGGTCAGGGCACATAGGAGAACCAACCAATGATGCATAAATAAGTGGAGCAACAAATCAATGTTTCTCTCTCCGCCCCCCTTCCTCTCTCTAAAAATAAATTTTTTTTTTAAATGTGAGAAGGCTAGACTAGTCCTGAAGCCAGTGGGTCAGGATGAATTTAGGATACTAAAGTCTGAAGTCAGGGACAGTGGTCAGAGTCCAGCTCTCAGAATTAGATGGTACCAAGGTCAAGGGTCAAGGTTGGGTGCTAGACTCAGAACAGAAACAGAGCCAAGACAGTTAGGTCACAGTTCACAGGTCAAGGGCTGAGAAGTTAGAATTAGTTGCTGGGTCGAAAATGACCTGGAGGCCTGGCCGGATGTGGCTCGGGTTGAGCGTCTCGGTTGTGGCTCCTGGGAGATCGCGGTTCAATTCCGAGTCAGGGCGCATGCCCAGGTTGCGGGCTCAATTCCCAGTGGGGGGGCATGCAGGAGGCAGCCAATCAATGACTCTCTCATCACTGATGTTTCTATCCCTCTCTCCCTCTCCCTTCCTCTCTCTGAAGTCAATAAAGATATATTGAAAAAACCCAAAAACACCTGGAGTCAGGTCATTGAGTTTCGGAGTCAGGGTTTGAGGTCAGGACTAGAGTGGGGCTGGAGTTAAATGCCAGGTGAATCAGTCAGGGGCCAGGCAGGATCTACTGGGTCAAGACTAGTGTGGGGTCAGTATTGGCATGGGGTGGCCAGGGTTCAGCAGTTGGAGGCAGATTTGGTCTAGTCAGGATGGCTATGGGATCAGAGCTAGGGGTCAGGTGAGGATGCTGAAGGCGGGTCAGAGGTCAGGATCTGGAAGGAGACAGACACCTTGCCACGGGCCAGGGTCTCCACACTGGCTCCCAGGTCATCCACCTCCATGCGGAGCTCACTCTTTTCTTTTTCCAGCTTCTGCCGCACCCGCTGCAGACTATCCACCTGCTCGCCCAGCTCAGCCGTGCTATCTGCCTGCTTGCGCCGCAGGGCGGCTACGGTGGCCTCGTGCCGCAGCGCTGCCTCCTCCAGTTCCCGCCGCAGCCGCCCCAGCTCAGCCTCGCGCTTGCGGCAGCCCTCTCGCTGCCCAGCAGACGCGCCGCCAGCCTCCTCCAGCCGCTCGCTCAGCTCCTCCAGCTCCCGGGCTGCCTCGGCCCTCTGCTTCTCCACTCGGGCCCGGGCTGCCCGCTCGGCCTCCAGCTCCTCTTCCAGCTCCTCTGCCCGAGCCTGGGGCAGGGGGAGGCAGCTGTCTCCTCTGTGAGCCTATCACA